GATCCTTCCGCCTCAGCCTTACAAGTAGCTGGAACTACAGACACACGCTACCACGCCCGGCTAATATTTTCTTATTTATTGTAGAGATGAGGTCTTGCCAAGTTACCCAGGCGGGTCTCGAACCTGCGGGCTCAGGCAATCCACTCACCTCAGCCTCCCAAAGCGCGGGATTACAAGTTGAGCCACCAAGTCTGGCTGAATTATATATTTTTAAGGTTCTCAGTTTTAACTCCTATTACAGTAAATACTGATAGATATAACACATAAAGAAAAGCTCTTTGGGGTACTTTTTTGTTTGTTTTGAGTTGGGGCCTCACTCTATTGCCTAGGTTGAAATACAGTGGCACCATCATGGCTCACCACAGTCACAACCTTCTAGGCTCAGAAGATGTTTCTGCCTCAGCCTCCCAAGTAACTGAGACCACAGATGCAAGCCACTATGCATGCTAATTTTTAAAATTTTTATAGTAATGAGGTCTCACCATGTTGCCTAGGCTGGTCTTGAATTCCTGGGCTCATGCAATCTTCCCAACTCAGCCTCCCCGAAGTGCTAAGATTACAGGCATGAGCCACTGCACCTGGCCAAGAGGTATTTATTTTTTAAGAGTATAAAAAAAATTTTCTAGGTCCTGATCCTAGATTAGAATACTGAGTTGAGAGCGGAATGGGCAAGGAATAATTAAGGAGTAATAACATTACACACTGATTGCTCTTATGATAATGATTTTAAGGTAAATAACTAAAATAAAGACAAAAATCACATAATTTTTATCCCTTTAAATTCATATGTAAAAATAGTAAGGAATATATTTAAAGGTTCATAATAAACTTAAATTATATAAAATAATAATTTAAAAATTAGTTTAAAAGTTCCATGAATTTGACCAGGTATGCTGGCTCAAGCCTGTAATCCCAGCACTCTGGGAGGCCGAGGCAAGAGGATTGCCTGAGTCCAGGGGTTCGAGACCAGCCTGGGCAACCTGGTGAGATCTCGTCTCTACAATAAATTTTTTAAAAATTAGCTGGGTATGGTGGCATGCACCTGTGGTTATAGCTACTTGGAAGGCTGAGGTGGAAGGATCAACTGAGCCCAGCAGGTCGAGGCTGTGGTGGCCGTAAGTGTGCCACTGCACTCCAGTCTAGGCAACAGAGTGAGACTCCAACTCAAAAAAAAAAAGGTTCCACTAATTCTCCAAATTAGGATCTCTAAGCTTCACAAAAACATTTAAAAGAGGAAATATTTATTTCATTTCATTAGTATAATGGAGAAATATTACCTGACTGAAAAAACTCTTTTTTTCAAATAACTCTTGGGAAATCCATTTTCCCTATAAAATCTACTCAATTACTTGTACAAATTTACCACATAATGGAAAGACTTGGCAAATTTTGAAATTCTAACTTACTTCTCAATTGGAAGGACGTGAGGCCCAGAGATGGAATAACGATACAGAAAAGTCAGAAACTTCCTGAATGCATCAAAAAAAGGCCAGTGAGAAAGGAGACAGATGCATTTGTTAGTATGAATTGTTTTGGAACTGTCAGACTTCCCATCTGCTGATGGCATTAAACCCAGAAGAAGTCTCTGTTTTTCTGTGAGATTCTCCTCAGAGTATGGTTCATAAAACTGAATAGCAGCACCATAGACCTGCAAAACAAGTATGTATTCAGTAAATGCACTCTGCACCATTTATCCAAATTACATCGTCAGTTAAATATTTATATATCCATTAATTATATCTAATTTCCTTATTTAATTATATATTTGATGTCATTAATATGCAATTTTATTAATAAATGCTTCCTATGAGCCAGGTGAGGTGCCAAGTATTAGGAACACATTGGTGAAGTCACATCTCTCTTGCTCTCTTGACTTATATAAGAACTACGAGGGGAGGACTAAAAAAATAAAAAAATAAAAATCTTTTGGAGGGTGGGCTCAGAATTTGTTTGTCCAGATTAAATGGTCAATGAAAGTTTTTATCTGGAAGCTTTGAGAAGGTTGTGTCAAGATTTGTGGAAGAAACGTTCCAAGTTGTGGACAAGCAATGACTGGTTCTTCACCATGACAACTCACCTGTCCACACCGTGCTGAGTGTTCAGCGGTTTTTGACCAAAAACGCCATGAGCCCCGTGTCCCACCCTTACTATTTGCCTGATCTTTCCCCAAGCAACTTTGTTTTGTTTCCCGGAAGAAAAAAAATCCTCAAAGGGAAATGTTTTGGATTTGGAAGAGGTGAAACAAAAAACAGCAGAATCACGAAAAGGCATCAAAACTGACAAGGCAGTTTAAAAACTGTTTTATGCCATGGAAAAAGCATCTTGATGGGTGTATTGCATCAAATGGAGAGTACTTTGAAGGTGACTGAAGTTTAAACATGTAAGAATACTCATTTTTTAATAAATAAACTCTGGGGTTTTCTTGAGGTCCCCCCTCATATAGTGCTATCCTTACGTCTCCTTGCAATTGAAAAGTGTTTTGATTAAATTCACTTGTACTAATAAAGAGTGAAAGCAATTGTACCAATATTCTCTATAAGAAACTGGTTGAAAATAATTATTAGTGAGAAGAAATTTAGATAAGGAAACACAAACTCCAGCTTTGGGCAAGTCAACGAATTTTTCTGGACTTCAATTTCCCTATCCAAAAGACAAGGATGCTGGACTTGATCTCCAAGGCCCCTCCGACCATAATTGTTCACTCAGTGATCTCCAAGGCCCCTTCTGACCATAATAGTTCACTGGATAACCTCCAAGGTCCCTTCCAACTACAATAGTTCACAACTCTAAATCACATTACATATTTAATAATGGACTGAATGTTTTTTTCAAAGCTTCTTTTTATAGAAAATGAACCAGTGAGGCATCATCATTTGATGATGAAAAAAATTTTTCACCATACTCACAAAAAAACATTTGAGAGGATAAGACAGAATGAAAATTATCTTTTCCTATGTCTCTGGATATAGTTATTTTAATCAAGTGGAAGAGGTATGCACAATGGATTCAATTTAACCAGTTTTTTTTCCTACTGTTCCCTGCATTTTATAAACTTAAAACTTGAAAACGTACAAGAAATTTACAGATACATTTTGTTAAAACACAGTACCTTTTCAGCTGAGGCTCCAGTTAACACAAATGTAGAAAATACAGGGAGAGGATATTTGCTATTTGGTGGCCAACATTCAATGGTTGCACCCATTGGTAAACAAAATAGAGGAACAGATTCTGGTAGTGAGAATGATTCATAATCTTCTTGAGGATATCTACAAATTAGACCTATAAAATCAACCATAAATATCAGGTATTACCTTTTGAGTTTAGGTGCTTGCTATTTCAATGATGGTAAAATGCTTCATTATTTCACACATTTGGAATGCCAAAACACTGCATATATGTTCATCAAATAACAGTGAATGCAACAGTAGGGTTCATCTAGATTTTAATCCTTAAGCATTATAGTCATATTATTTAGGTAATTAATACTCAGTAGGGTTCACACAGATTTTAATCCTTAAACATTATAACATAAACATATAATCCTATAGAAACACATAAACACACTCCTAAAAATTCAGTTTGTGATCACCCTAAATTAAAGCCTTCTAATTTTTAAAAATGTTCAGTATGGCTACTTGAATATATCTACTTCATCAGCTCTCAACAGTTCTCCCTCCAGGGACTTTTACATATTAAAATCCATATCTGATAGGCATATATATGCAACTTCTAGTATAAATATAAGAAAATTACTCATAAAAACAGGAGAGTCACATATTTACAATGTCTTCAGAATAGTATCACCTCCAGCTCAGCTTCTAAATAACCCCAGGTTACATTAAGAGAGAGTTTCAAGTGGCCTATGATTTCATGTTAGGTAGACTAGTCTGGAAAATGGTCCAGGCATCTTCTATTGAATACATTCTAGAAGAAGAGCATTGTACTGAATTTTGTGGGACTAGCAACAAAAAATAGGTTCCTCGACCAAGAAGCCCTTAAAGTCAGGTGGAAACCATCAACAGACATGGCCACAAAGACAAAAAAGATAAACTGGGGAACAAGAGTGGCTGGTTCTGCCAGTAATATCTCTGGGACTTGAGAAATGACATACCTACAGGACTATGGTTTTCTCATGTATAAAATGAGATAAAGTAGATTAAGGTACAAGGCAGTTCTAAAATTCTCTAACTATATGCTAGCCAGCCAGTATGTCCTATAAGAAAGAATCTACAGTTAATTTTGCATTACTATCTCAGGTCATGAGGTAATAATAAAGTCATAAAGTAATTATAGAAATAGTGATGAATTATGGGTCCTAGAAAACCAAAGGCAGAAGAGAAAGTGAGTCTAGAACTCTAAAGTAATCTGCAATTGTACTCTCTAAATATATAAAAATTAAAAAATAATTAAAAGAATATATATATATATTTTTAGTTAGAGTCTCACTCCATCGCCCAGGTTGAAGTGACACTCATGGCCATCCCAGCAACAACCTGCTGGGCTCTGGAGATCCTTCCACCTCAGCTTTCCAAGTAGCCAGAACTACAGGCACGTGTTACCATGCCCGGCTAATTTTTTTGATTTATTGTAGGGACGAGGTCTCACCATGTTTCCCAGACTGGTTGAACCCACAGGCTCAGGCAAGCCTCTCACCTCGGCTTCCCAAATGCTTGCACCACCACGTCTGGCCTATATATATACTTTTTAAAGACAGGGTCTCGCTGTTGCCCAGACTGGTCTTTAACTCCTGGGCTCAAGTAATTCTCCTGCCTCAACTTCCCCAAAAGCTGGTATTACAGGAATGAGCCACCACACCCAGCTTAAAAATATATTTTTTAAAAGGCTGAATCTATTCTCTTGTAAATAAAATTAGTACGTTTGATATGTTGAGGTCTCTGGAAATTGAGCATTTCAACTATGCATTGCAAAACTACAAATTAGTTTATAATGTTTTCCGTTATTGTAAACTATAATTGCATATGAACTACAGACTTCATATATTAAAGAAATATTCATTTAACAGGAAAATAAATATATTTTTCCATATGTCTGCTAATTGAAAAGAGAGAATTGAGATCTACTTATCAGTTGTTTATTTGAACCTAAGGCTTAAAAAAAAACCACCTTATTTTAAAATTAACCTTCCATTAAGCTTCCAATAAACATATGGACGAAGAAAAAACTGAGAATCAAAAGGCACAGATCATGATCCCGGTCCTTAAACTAACCCATCATAGGCAGGTTTTGCCTTTCTTTAACCTTACTGGGTCTCATAATGCACTTATATATAAAGTATCCCATGAAAAAGTATACTTACCAGCTTTGTAAGATATAGTGTTCGTCTTTGCCACCGATTTTTTATAACATAAATATACTGCTGATCCCCACTGAATTAAAAAAAAAGGGGAGATATCATTTAATTTAAGAAGGCAGGAGTTAGATAAAACGGAATCTCTCTGAGCTCTCCAGTGTCTATTTCTAAGATGGAGCAACAGATTTCCCTTTGCTAGCTATTTTCAGTTGTCTGTTTTGTCTGCAAAACAAAACACAGAGTCACACAGTCCCTTTTCTTTCAGAAGTGAAATTTAACATTTTTTCCCCTTGCAACAGCAATAACATGAGGAAAACTTGACTCTAAAAACAAAACTAAGCCACAACAATTTAGATTTTATTCTAAGTTCAAACTTTGGGCATAAATGGTAAACTAAGAAATAGACCCAAGTGCATACCTTCCTTTTGACTCCACAACCCATCCCAGATATTGTCAGGTTTTTCAGTAGCTGTTTATGCCTCAGGAAGGAGTTGTAATTTTTTATATCCACTTATTTCCCTATGCTCTTCCAAATTCAAATCAGATTTTAATCTTCATCACTCCTTAACAGAATACCTTACCAACATCCATGAAGCCAAGTCTAACTGCTGAGTCCTGGTCTTCACCTTGCTCAGTCTCTCAGCAGCCTTGAGTACCACTGGCAACTCCCTTTGAGCACCATCTGCTTGGCTTTAGGGATCAAGCTGTGCTAGCGCTTCCCACCAAACCTCCGGTCACCCCTCTTCAGTCTCCTTTGTGGCATCCTCTCTCTTTTCCTAATCATTAAAGGTAATATCATCTCTTTTTTTCACTTTCTCTAAAGACACATATTCAGTTCCATGGCTTTAAAAAACAGGTACTCACTGAGGAGTCTCAGATGTTTTCCAGCTGCAAATCAACCCACCTCCACTCCTCAACCCACAGCTACCTGCCTGTTACACTTCTGTGTCTGACAGTACCTCACACGCTTCATGATATAGAAAGTCTTGTCCCTTGCAACCTTGACCTCACTCGTGTTCCTCAAGAAACGCTCCAGTTTAATCTGTCCTCAGACTCCGGAGTCACTTTTAACTTCTGTCTCCTAAACCACATGTGACCCATCTGAAGATTTGTCAGCTCCACCTCTGAAATCTGCCCTCATCTGATTGCTTTGCACCCCCTTCACCAGCACTGCTCTTGACCAAGGAGTCGCCATTTTCACCTGGACCATGGCCACTTTCATCACTACTGCTCCTGACTAAGGAGTTGCCATTTTCACCTGGACCATGGCCATTTTCACATTTCTGCTCCTGACCAAGGAATCACCATTTCCACTAGGACCACACCTGCAGTCACCCAACCAATCTCATGGCTTCCTGTCGTGTCCCTCAACAGTTCAGCTCTACAGCCAGAGTGAGCCCACTAAACCGTAAGCCAGACTGTCACCCTCAAATGGCCTGGTGTTAGATTAAAAACAAAACCCACAGGCCTTACTGACCTCACATCTGCAGCCCAACAGGCCTCCTTCCTCAGACACACCAAGGAGAAGTGCAAGTGAGGGCCTTCACTGAGTCTTAAAATCTCCTCCTTGGAGAAAGTCTTACTAACTGTCCTGGCCCATAGTACCTCCTCATTCCAGATTGCCTGTCCTCCCAGTCACTACCCACTCTGTTTGTTGTCTATCTGTCCTCCCCCCTTGAAGATAAATGCAGTGAAGGCAGGGACTCTTTCCTTCCCCACTGTACTCCCTGGGTCTCACACATTCGTTCACTAAGTTTTACTAAATAAATATATAAATAATTTACTGAAAAGTTCTTTAAACAAGGATTAAATAATTAGCTTTATGATACAGACATTCCTTACACAATTAATGCAAATTAAGAAGTATAAAGTCATCGATAATTAAAAATAGTATATAATTAAAATTGTTATTATCATAACCGAACACTATGTATACACCTCCACCCCTGCTACACTGCTACTGACATGAGCAGCTAGAGAGCGGGAGGGAAGGGCTGGCCAGTCAGATGCAAACTGTGCCTACAATTTGGCTTGAGGATTATCTTTGTATACTTAAACTAAGAATGGCTTTTACTTTTTTTTTTTTTTTTTGAGTTGGAGTCTCACTCTGTTGCCCAGACTGGAGTGCAGTGGGCGCTCCCGGCCACTGCAGCCTTGACCTGCTGGGCTCCGGCGATCCTTCTGCCTCAGCCTTCCGAGTAGCCAGAATTACAGGCATGCGCAACCATACCCGGCTGATTTTTTGATTTATTGCAGAGATGAGGTCTCGCCAAGTTGCCCAGATGGGTCTCGAACCTGCGGGCTCAGGCAATCCACTTACCTCAGCCTCCCAAAGCACGGGAGTACAGGCTGAGCCACTGAGCCTGGCAGCTTTTACATTTTTAAAGGGTTTAAGAAAATAGACAAATATGAGGCAGAGCTTGCATATGGCCTGCAAAACCTAATTTATTATCTAGCACTATGAAGAGAAGGTTTGCTGACTCCTGAATTAGAAGACTATTGCAATAATGCTAATAAGACACAATGATGGCTTAGACCAGAGTTATGGCAACAGAGGAGCTGAGAAGTGGTCCAGTTCAAGATATATTTTGAAATTAGAGTTTACAGAAGAACAGAATGGAAGCAGAAGATAAAGGTTAGGATTACTCCAAGGATTTTTGATCTAAGTAACTAGCAGGGTGGAGCTTCCATTTATTAGATGAGGAAAACTATAAAGAGAAGCAGGTTTGGAGAGACACATCAAGAGTTCTTGGATATGTTGAATCTGAGATGCTCTATTAAATAAGCTATTCCAGAACAGATGATGAATTAGAGTTCTGACTAGACACACAGACTGAGAAGCCAGTCACATGTGGCCTGCATTTAAATGATCAGATCACCAAAGGACCCAGTCAGAGTGGGGAAGACTGAACCTGAGGCACTCCACCATGATTAGGTCACCAAAGGACACAATCGCTCTGGGGAAGACTGAACTCTGAGGTACTCCACAGTGATCAGTCAGCAAAGGACCGAGTCAGCATGGGGAAGATGCTGGCAGGGACTAAACCCCAAGGTACTCCATGGTGAAGTGGTTATGGAGGTAGGAAGGAACACACAAAGGCAGAGAGGGAAGCTGAAGTAGAAGAAAAAGCTAGAAAACACTGAGAACAAATTCTTTCTCCTGGCACTGTTTCAATAAGGAAGAAGTAATCATCTATGTCAAAACCTGCTTAAAAATTAAGATGAAGAATGAATTGTCGATTCAACAAGAGAAATCTTGTGGAGGGACGGAGACAACAGGTTGACTGGAAGAGCAGAGTGAGGAATGGGGCAAAATGCTTATCGTAAAGAACGGTGAGTTGCAGTAGTGGAGGGAAGGGACACAGGGCACAACGTCTGGGGAAGACAGGAGGCCTCTGCATGCTGGAGGAGATAATCAGACAGGGAGGGAAGGAGGACGGAAGACTGCCAATGTCATGCCCTCCACAGGCTAGTGTGGGGGGTGGAGTCTGGGCACCAGGAGAGGGTAGTCATGGTTAGTGCTTTTGTAGGAAGTGGGGGAGCTTTTTTTTTATTTAGGAAGAAAAAAAAAAAAAGATTTTCATGCAGCTTCTTTTGAAAGTACAACTAAAATACACTCCAAACAATAAAATACGTAACATCTTTAAGAACATATTTTTCAATTCTATAATTATGCTATGCTGCTTGAAAAAAATTTATTTAAAATTATGTTATTTTCACCAGTGGTTAGTTTATCAGTGCAAACAAGTCACTTACCATGCTGTTATTAAGATTCCTGTCAACTTTGCAGAATGTGTGTGGTGGGCTTTCTCCTTTGCTGGGTATAATGATACACACATCTGTGACAGCCAGGGTATTCTGAGTCATGTTTTCAGAGGCTCTCCGGTAAGTAACATAAACTCTTTGTGATGAGGTATTGCCACTAATGTTTGCAGGGCGCCCATAGGGAGTACTCTGAATAATTTCACACCCCTGTTTCAATCTTTCTTTCCATTCATATAAAACCCTAAAAAACAAATTAAAAAAATAAATTCACAAAGCACCTTCAATTGTGAAAGGTAATATTCTTAGGCATCATTAACTGATCCTTAAAGGCAGCAGTGTGGTAAAAACATTCCAATCTTATTGCAAGTTTGACTGCTGGTCTTGTATAAAATTAAAGAAGAACTCTTTTCCTACCAAAGTTTTAAATAATATAAGGAAAAATTCAGATAAACCATCATGTTTGTTAACATAAACCAGAGAATGACAGTAACTTAACCCAAAGGTATCTCCATTTAATAGAACTATTAATTAATTTATTTTTGTCTCTAAAACCAAGCATCTTCTTTCAAAAAATCAACTTGCATTTTGGACAAAGTCAAAATCTTACAAACGGTTACTTGCCCAGATAGTACAGAACCCACTTGCACACGCTGATCTCCAATACTTCCTTCAGCTTTACAAGACAGTTTTAGGCTTTTTAAGATAATATAGCCTCAAATCTATCTTTAATCCAAAGTCAGGATGAGACACTAGGTTTTTCTTTCCTTTTTTCTTTATTTAGGGTAAAATCACAGGCTTTTAATAAAGGGCAGGCCGCCTGGTATCTATTCATTAAGTTTTCTAAATACTATATTTAAAGCACTTAGGGATACCAAGAAAACATAATGCTTGAATAATATTAGTTTATTCCCTCAGAATTCAATGATTTGTACTTCAATGCCAAGTCCTTGGCATTAGTCAAGAAATCTTTTAAAGCTCTACTATATTAAATGTGTTTCTGCATGTGTTATAAAAACTGTTATAACAGGTGATGTCTTCATCATCAATCAATATTCCCTTATATAAAATTCTATTACGAGCCGGGTTCGGTGGCTCAGCCTGTAATCCCGCGCTTTGGGAGGCTGAGGTGAGTGCATTGCCTGAGCCCACGAGTTTGAGACCCGCCTGAGCAACTTGGCGAGACCTCATCTCTACAATAAACAAAAAAATCAGCCGGGTGTGGTAGCGTGTGCCTGTAATTCCAGCTACTCAGAAGGCTGAAGCAGAAGGATCGCTGGAGCCCAGCAGGTCGAGGTTGCAGTGGCCGGGAGCGGCCACTGCATTCCAGTCTGGGTGACAGAGTGAGACTCCAACTCAAAAAAAAAAAAAAAAAAAGACAACATGACATGCTGAATCTTGGACTTGGAGAAACTAAAACCCACATACACTACAGGTGGGAATACGATATGGAAAAGTCTGGCAGTTCCTCAAAAGGTTGAGCACAAAATTACCACCGGACTCAGCAATCCCACTCCTAGGTTTGCACACAAGAAAGATGAAAACATGTCTACACAAGAATCTGTGCATGAACATTTGCAGCAACATTATTCATAATAGCCAAAAAGCAGAAAAATTCCAGATATCCATCAACAGAAGAATGAATAAACAGTATATCCATGTAATGGAGTATCATTTAGCCATACCAAGGATCATGTGCTGGCAAATACAACAGAATGCTAAGTGAAAGAAGTCAGTCACAGAAGACCATACATCTAGTGTGACTCCACTTACATGAAACATCCAGAATAGGCAAATTCATAAAAGCAGAAAGTTGACTGGTTACAGCAGAGAGCTAAAGGGGTTTAGAGGTAATTGGTAGAAACTACTAATGAGTACAGGGTTTCTTTTTGGCATAATAGAAATGTCCTAAAGTTTATTGTGGTGCTAGTTACTTAACTGTAAAAATACTAAAAGCCACAGAATTGAACACTTTAAATAAATGGGTGGCTGTGTGATATGTGAATTATATCTCAATAAACCTGTTATCTATATGTTTAACAAAGTCATAAGTTTAATGTAGTATCCTAGGTAAAGCTCCAATTTATCCTAAGGCCCTTGTTTGATACATAAAGTTAAGAATCCATCTACAATGATCATTTTAACAGGCTTAAAAGCCATCCTTTTCTCGTACTTTAAAAATAAAGAATGGGCCAACTCCATGTCTGACAAAGGCCTAACATCAAGGATCTAGAAGGAACTCAAATGTGCTGAAAAGAAAAAAACAAACAGCCCCATTACAAAGTGGGAAAAGATATGAATAGATACTTCTCAAAAGAAGACATAAAAGTAGCCAACAGATACATGAGAAAATGTTCTGCCTCACTAGTTATCAAGGAGATGCAAATTAAAACTACACTGAGATACCACCTAACTCCAGTCAGAATGGCCATCATCAATAACTGAAAAACTAATAGATGCTGAAGAAGATGCAGCAAAAAGGGAACACTTCTACACTGTTGGCGGGAGTGTAAACTAGTACAGCCTCTGTGGAAATCAGTGTGGTGACTCCTAAAAGTTCTAAAAGTTGACCTCCCATGTGACCCCACAATCCCTGGAGGAACACAGGTCACTCTATGAAAAAGATACCTGCACACGTGTGTTTATCACAGCATTGTTCATAATAGCAAGAACATGGAACCAACTGTGCTGCCCATCAAAAGAGGACTGGATAAAAAAAATGTGGTACATATACACAATGGAATATTACACAGCCATAAAGAACAAAATCATTAACTTCATAGCAACCTGGATGGAATTAGAGTTTATAATACTGAGTAATCTCTCAGAAACAAAGAGCTGAGTATCACATGTTCTCACTCATAAGTGGAGCTTGAATAACTACCATATTACTATAAGAAAAAAATTGAAAGTAGCAGGAAACTGCGGGGGTGGGGGTGGGGGAGGTGGGATCGACAGTAGTTGATTTCTGCCTGGGGAAGGGGGGGCACACCTCATCAATAAGGGTACTTGCAGAGTGAATATTTGTATACCTAGCCCTGAATTGTACCACACAATTTTAAAATAAAAATTGAAAGAGGAAAAATAAATAAATAATAAAAATAAAGAATGAGCAGCAAACAGTAGGCACTCTTGCTGCTGTCCTGCCCACTGTGCCCTTCACAATGTATCTTCCCTTTAATAACTCTACATTTCTTAGTTCATTAAAAAAAAAAAAAAAATGCTCCGATCAGAATAATACATTCGTTTTCTGGTACTTTTCTGTAAATGTTTTTCAGATTCTCCTACCTCTAATGGAAAGAAACCCAGCCATAATGAGAGGGCTAGGAACTTGAGGGCAAAGAGAGGTAAGAGGAGACAGGCAGAGAACACAGGTTTCTGGATACAAACTTGTATATTTTTCTAAAGCTGCCTGCCTCTATTACTGAGCAAACTAACCAGTTAACTTCAAAATCTACAAGGCATATCATTTGGATCAATAAGAGTAAGTCGCTTTAAAAAACACTTACCCCAGATCTGTAAGTGGAGGTTTATCTCTCCCTCTTCGGTAGCAGAGGTAAATCTGCGGCCCCACAAGACTTCCATTGTTGAGATCAGCTGATAATCCCGTTGGAGTAACATCAATACAAACATAATCCCTCGGCACTTCCTCCCCAAGAGACTTAATAATAACAGCAACATCTGTGATAGGCTCTTTTGGTTTAGCTACTTTATGACAAGCATCATTGAAGTGAATTTCTTCTTCAAGAGGTTTTGAAACATCAGTTAATCCTGCTACAACAAAGTAGTCAGCAACACGAGGGCCCTTGTCTTCAATCATTTTCCATTACAGAAGGTTACATCTAAAAAGAAGGGAAAGATGAGGATTCTCCTACAGTAAGCCAGATAGGTATAAGTGGTTTTGGTGCAAATAAGAACAAAAAACTACAAAAAGAGCACTTTATTAGACAACAAAAATGTTTATTTTTTTTAATTATAAAAGTAATGCATGAATTTCTAACTTTTGCAATATGGAAACCTAGGTTACCTAAGTAGACAGCAAAAAACATCCTTTCAAATGTATAGCTTAACTTGTAAGAATGTAAGGAAATTCCCAGGGGTCTAAAACACTGAGGAAACCAAATGTCAGAATGCATTCTATAAACTGACCCTGAATGCGGAAATGTGCTGATCTCAGTAATTAAGAGGTTTGTGTTTAGAAGGTATTACAGGGATGGGGACAAGGCCTGAGGACAACATAAGACTGGGAACTGCAACATCTGTATAAAGCCAAGCGTTCCAAAGGACTATACTCCCAGTTATACAGGAGTAAAATTAAAAGACCTATCTATGAGCACAGGAAGAGAATTAAGTCATGGGGATAAGAGAGAGTCTCCTCTGAGAATTTATAGCAACAAGTCAATTCACTCTCATATTTGGGGTTTGAACCCATGCCTCCACATAGTCCCAAGAAGCTAAAAACTGAGAAATTAACAATAAAAGTGTTCCCAGGCTAGTGATACTCCTTGGGAAGCAAATGTAAGACAGCTCTAGAGAGTATGCCCTTGCTGGGTACAGTGGCCTGTAATCCCAGTACTTTGGGAGGCTGAGGAGAGAGGACTGCTTGAGCCCAAGAAATTCAAGACCAGCTTGGGCAACACAGGGAGACCTCATCTCTACAAAAAAAAAAAAAAATCAAAAAATTAGCTGCGTGTGGTGGTGTGAGCCTGTAGTCCTAGCCACTTGGGAAGCTGAGGTGGGAGGAATAACTGAGCCCAAGGTTAAGATTGAGATGAGCCATGACCATACCACTATACTCCAGCCTGGGTGATAGAATGAGACCCCCAACACAAAATAAAAATTAAAAATAATAAATAAGCTCCTACTCCAAAACTACAAAGACACACAAGAAAAAATCTATCAGAAATGATTCTTAGCAGATATATCAAACTGAAGAATTTCAACAAAAAAATAGGTTGTTACATTATAACAGAAATGCATGATTATAACACATTCAAAGAAAAAATACACAAAGCATAATCTGTTATTTGCAATCGCCTCCAATTGTCTAGTATCACTTAACCTTTATTTTTTTTCTCTAACTTGAATACACTCCACAGTACTGTCATTACTTATATACCACTGTTATAGAAAACTAAAGTTTAATCTAAACAGAATTTCCTAGCATGTTTCATGTTAGACATAGTTCCAGTAAATGCAAATAAAGGATTCCATGGACAAATAAGTTAGGTATATACGCTTCCAGTCCCTTTCGATATTTACAACTATACATATATATATGTATGTGCCACATTAGTTCTTTGATAAAGGTAGCTGATAAACGTTGCTTAACCCAGGATTTCCTAAGTCTGTTTAAACAATGAGCCCTATTTTCCCACTTAACAACTAGAAAAAACCCTTAGAACAAGCTTTAGAAAATGTTAAACAGCCTTCCTTTGTCGACTATAAAATACCTGAGGGCAAAGAAATTCTTTTGTAGCCTATGATTCTTTGTAATTATCAACATTTTTATCATAATCCCAAAACTCATTTAATTTTCTATATTGCTAATGTCATGAGTTTTCAGAATTCATGACACATTTCTTGGAATCTGGACTCACTGTTCACATGTACTCTTTAAATATTCCCACTATTTGCCTAGAAAATGCAACTAAAGGACTGACTGCTCCTACTTGTTTCATTTATATATATATGACTCCTATGCAGCAATTTCCATACACGTAAGACTTCTGAACATCCTAACAATGGCTTGAACTTTTCAGAAATGGCTCCTAGATGGACACTAAAAAGAAAGTACTAGCCAGGTTCAGTGGCTCAGCCTGTAATCCCGCGCCTTTGGGAGGCTGAGGTGAGTGGACTGCCTGAGCCTGAGGGTTCGAGACCTGCCTGGGCAGGCAAGACCTCATCTCTACAATAAATCAAAAAATTAGCTGGGCATGGTAGCGCGCGCCTGTCATTCCGGCTACTCGGAAGGCTGAGGCGGGAAGATCGCCGGAGCCCAGCAGGTCGAGGCTGTGGTGGCTGGGAGCGGCCACTGCACTCCAGTCTGGGCGACAGAGTGAGACTCCAACTCAAAAAAAAAAAAAAAGAAAGTACTAACGACCTACTCTCTTGAGAAGACTGTTCAATGTTGACTCGCCACTATCGGCTGACTGCATAAAACAAGTGCTCCACAAAAAAGAGCAGTTGTGCCCACTGATCATCTATTCAGTAAAAGAAATAAAAATAACAATAGCACTTTTGTATTTAACTTTTTTTTCCACTTCATTAGTCTTTGAAGATAATTTTGAGGGACTGCACTGGATTTAATTTTATGGATATATCCCATTATTGACCTATCTGCTTATTGTCAATCATTTCTTACTTTTACTTATTTTGCTAATATTTTTTAAATGCTACAATGAGCAACCTTGATAAGCTTCTAGTACCACTCAATATTTCTTCAGGATAAATTTACTGAAATAAAATTTTTGGATCAAAAGTTGGGCCAGGTGCAGTGGCTCATGCCTGTAATCCCAGCACTTTGGGAAGCAGAGATGAAAGGATTGCCTGAGCCCAGAGGTTCCAGACCAGCCTGGGCAACATGATAAGATCTTGTCTTTACAATAAATCAAAAAATTAGCTGGGTGTGGTAGTGTGCCTGTAGTTCCAGTTACTTGGAAAACTGAGGCAGAAGGATCGCCTGAGCCCAGAAGGTCAAGGCTACAGTAGCCATGACTGCCCCACTGCACTTCAGCCTGAGCAACAGAGTGAGACTCAAAAAAAAAAAAACAGTTGTAACAGCCTCGATATGTGCTTTTATGTATACATGAATTTTTAATTATAAACTCTTAATAGACACAACCTTGAAAATTACTTTGGTAGAGCATTTTCCTTTTATCATAAAGAGATTAAAATATCTTCTTTTGTCTTAGACTCTAACTTCATGTTATATACACTAAAGCATGTAGTCGCTGTTGCTTACAATACAGTTTTTGTGTCTTGCTGTGCAGAAAGAGGAAAAGAGCATGGAAATAGTGCTATCATAAAAACACATATATTTAATAAGTGTTTTTGAAAACTACTACCTTAGCCTCGGAAATGAATACCTATCATACTAATAAGCAAATATTTGGGAGAAACTTATATAAAAAATTTCTTTTTATTGTATCTTTCTGGTTCACAAATTTTAATAATTTATTCTCATTCACAATAGATTTCAGTAAATAACTACTAAAAGGGAACAAGTTGTCTACTAATAAATATAAAAAAGATCAATTTTAAAATGGTGATAAACTCCTCTCATATTTATTGACAAAAAAGTAAATTATATGTCATTCCAGTTCCTTTGCCTTGTTTGTTTATTTAATTTAGTACATTTATTCGCTTGGGGAAAGGAATAACTGGGAAGATAGGAAAAATATTTTAACATAAAGCTGACAAAGCATATAATACCAAGAACAAAGCTGGCAGCATTACAGATGATATCTTGAAAGATCAAAATATTGTTTAATTCATTTAGGAAGGTCTATAAAACTGAAAATGTAATTCTACTTTTAATTTTAAATCAACTATTTTTAAGGTAAGTTTGTGGCTTAGAAGAGCGAAGACATTGTTAAAAATTATAAGGCAAAGAAAATGCTGAAAATCTTTAATATAGAAATGAATAATTAGTATTTCCTAACAATTCCATTAAACCAAGAGACTCACATTGGCATATGAAGTTTGCAACACTCATGGAAAATACTAAACATATATTAAGACAAAAATGCCTTGAGTTGGCAAGAGTCTCCATAAATTACTTGAAAAGAGTATTTGAGGAAAATGTTCCCAGTTATACACATTTAGTGTTATACATCAGAACAAAATTCCTAAATAATCAGGAGGTAAATGTCTTTAAATTCATTTTTGGAAACTAGGGACCACAAAAAATATGTACTTGATACAACAGTTCTCTAAATAATCAGAGTAAAATAAAACCCTGAAGTACCTTTACTCAAGTTGAAGTAACAATAATACTATATCATTAACCAATGACTATTTTTTACTTCTTTGCATGACACAGACAACTCAAGGAACTAACTTTTCAGATAAAATGTTTATAGGCATGTTCTAATTTCAGATATCTGTTTAGCTAGTACTTCACTTTAAATTACAACTTTTTTCTTTAAAAACATAAAACAGGAAGGATGTACTCTCTACTCCTAAAAGGTTCAAGAGAACTAAATGCAGAAATCATTACAAAAAAGCTCTTACCCAGTCAGCACTAATGGAGACTGATTTCTTTTTCTCCCTTTCAATCTTTGCCCAATCAATTTGTATTCTTTATTTCTTCTTTCACTCCATTAGGTCAAAGTAGTCAAATATTTGCTACCTAGGCTAAGTCTAAGGATAAGAAAAGGCAAGAGTAGAGATCAGAGGAAACACCATCAACATATATGAAAAACAAAAATTCTGAACATAAAGAGTTTTGCAAATTCTTAACTATTACTGAAATAGTAAAAGGAGCAAAAACCTTCCAGATAGGGCCTGATAAACTGTCACAAAGACTTTGGTATGTAAATGGTTAATAACACAACAAAGCCATTCAACTCTCCACCGGCAACTCCAGAAGAGGTTTTCACTATTTCTTTGTTACATTACTCTAGTTAAGAACCTATTCTAAGGCCAGGTGCAGTGGCTCTCCCTGTAATCCCAGCACTTTGGGAAGCGGAGGCAAGAGGATTGCCTCAGCCCACGGGTTCGAGACCAGTCTGGGCAACTCAGCAGGACCTCGTCTCTACAATAAATCAAAAAATTAGCCGGGTACATGCCTGTAGTTCCAGCTAGTTGGAAGGCTGAGGCTGAAGGATATCGTGAGACCAGCAGATGGAGGTTACAGTGGTTGTGAGTGTGGCACTGCACACCAGCCTGAGTGACAGAGTGAGACTGACTCAAAAACAAACAAAAAAAACCAACCAACCAAAAAAATAAACAAAAAGAACCTATTCTAGCTCATCATTTCTTAAATGATCAAAACTAAACTAGAGACGCTCCTCGTCACCTTTTCTCTATTTCATCTTTCATCCAACCAAAGTGATCTGCCTCTGTCCTTCAGACACAGCTTTGCTCTTTCCTCTTTGACTACACACTCATTTCTCTTTCTAGTCAATATAGGTGCATCATAATTGTCAAAACAATTTAAATGGATGAGGACTTTCATTTAATCTCTATGAATTGCACAGAGTAGCTGAAAGAAGAAAAAATCAACAATCTCATTCACATAAATGAGGTTTGTATTTCACTGTTTCTTAATATTCTTTGAGAACAGAGAACATCCTTCTAATCCTTATACACAGTTGTAATCATAGAATGCAAATATTTATCTTTTTATTTAATAAGCATTTCCCAAATTGCTATAATCTTCATAATTGCACTAAATGACTACATAATACTCCATCAAACAGAAATGTACACTATGACTGGTACTACCCTTTTCCATTCCCACCTAGTACCCAAAGTATGGTAGGTAGCTGCTTTAAAAATATTCATTAAATGAATGTTTACTTTAAAACCTTCCTTAAGCATATTATTCTAAACATAATGTCTCTTTTTCTACAATTCAAAGTCATTTTGCTGGACCTCAATGACTTCAAATACTTTAGTTGTTGACATGGATAAATTAGACGATTTGAGTCTAGTAGCCAGATACCATGACTAGGGCCCTAAGCAAAATTAGAAAGTTATTAAATTTATGAAGTATATTAAAGCAAATATATATTATATATATATTTTAAATTTTAAAGATGTGGGGCACAATTCAGGGTTAGGTATACAAATGTTCATTATGCAGGTACCCTTGTTGATGAAGTATGTCCCCTCTCCCCTGGCAGATTCCCACTACTGCCAATCCCACCTGGCAAATATATTTAATAAATCAACAAATTTAAATAATTATACATTTATAAATCAATGAATGTATTATAAATAGAAATATGAATTTATTAAATACAGTTATAATTTCTTAAATATAGGTATATATTTATTAGAAATAAGCATTTCTAATAAACATTTATTAAGATCTGAAACTATTCTAGGAGCTGGTGACAACAGCGATCAAAGCAGTAGTCTCTGCCTTCAAAGAGCTTTTTGTTTAGTTCCACCTTTCCTCATTTCTTTCTATGCTTTTATTCCACCTCTAGCCGTTAGTTATTCTCCCGCTGACCGTCCAGATTCCATGTGCCTGACTTCACTCCACCCAAAGTTTCCCTATCAGTTTCTCTCCAAAGGCCATGCACAAAGTTACCATGAGGTCACTCTTTCTCACCCTTCTTGAAAACTGGCACTACTTCAGCATCAGCATTCCATGGAGTTTTTTTGTTTGTTTGTTTTTTAAGAGACTGAATCTCCAACTCCTGGGCTCAAGCAATCCTCCCGCTTTGGCCTTCAAAAGTCCTGGGATTACAGGTATAAGCCACACCTGGCCCCCATGGAGATTTTGAAAGGAAGAAAATCTTATCTGTATATAACAGTAGGTGGACATTTTCACAAAGATTTAGCCCATCCAAGACAAACTCAAACTTTTAAGAGTAAGCTTTATAACTGTGTAGGGTAGATTTCTTGAACATAGAGACTTATTTGTCACCCAATCTATTCTGGTACCACTTCCACAAAACTTATCCCTAAGCAAAACCAACAACATAAAATTAAAGTACAAATGTGTAATTTGACAGCTCTTTCAAAAGATTACCAACCCCTGATTTATAAAACATTTAAGACAGGAATAACAGACATTTGGGGGGGGCTCTCATTATTAGTTATAATCCAATTCCTCACTTTATAGCCAACGAAACTGAAGAATGGAAGCTGGACAACTTCAGGCCACCCGCTAGTCAGTGGCACAGCCTGGTGAGAACAGCCCGCCACTCATCATTCATTGCACTAAAGAGTTTGTCTCTAACAAATGGTGTTGAATTAATACTGCTCCAAAGTACATGTAGGATATCTTTCTTTCTTTTTTTTTTTTTTTTTGAGTCGGAGTCTCACTTGGTCGCCCAGACTGGAGTGCAGTGGCCGCTTCCAGTCACTGCAGCCTCGTCTGCTGGGCTCCGGCGACCCTTCTGCCTCAGCCTTACGAGTAGCCAGAATTATAGGCATGCGCTACCATGCCCGGCTAATTTTTTGATTTTATTATAGAGATGAGGTCTCGCCTGCCCAGGCGGGTCTTGAACCCGCGGTCTCAGGCAATCTACTCACCTCAGACTCCCAAAGGCGCGGGATTACAGGCTGAGCCACCGAGCCCAGCTTAGGATATCTTTCAATAAATTATTTTGTGTCACTCGGCATTCATAATTATTATGTGATGAACTCTTAAGAGTTCTGGTAAATTAAGGTTTCACTGTTTAATAAAGAAAATAGCTCACTGAAACAATAAAAATGAAACCCAAACTACTTACACATTACTGAAGTCTCTTTCTCAAAGTGATGTCAGATCTCAATTTGTGAATTCTGCAAGCCTCAGAGTTTGAGAAATACTGTGTGGAAAAAGGTAATATTGGACTTAAATTAATTTCCATCAAAAATTCACCACAATATGCCTGTGGATAAAGTTCTGTTAACAAGGATAATTGTTAAACCAATTGCATTTGTTGTTTTCATATGCTTAAGGGCCAAGAAGCAATTTTCAAACATCAGCTTTTCAATCAGTCAAGGAAAGACACAAACTTAAAACAGCATGTAGCAGGGAGAAAGAGAGAAAGCAAAAGAATAAGTAAAGGCACAAAAGAGGAAATGTATGCAGAGCAAGGCATGTGAGAAAGAAAAACATGCCTGTTTCTGGGGCATTATGTAGTATCTCACTCAGAGAGGAAAAGCACACACATTTGAGACAGTTCAAACAGAGACTAAGTAACCTCCACATACATACTGTGTGTTAGATGTCAATACCTAAAAGCACCTTCCCCTTATCGTAAATTTTAAAGATACTACAGTTGACCCTCTGTACCCACAGGTTCCACATCCGTGGATCCAGCCAACCACTGACTAAAATTATGTTAAAAATAAAAATACCACAATAAAAAATACAAATTAATAAAACAATGCAGGATAGCAACTATTTACATAGCACTTCATTGTTTAGCATTATGCATAAACTAGAGGTGAGGATGCATGCAGGCTCTATGAAATGTGGCTCTGTTTCCCATTAGGGACTTGAGTTTCAATCAGTCCCCTAAAGACACTGAGGGATGATATATTCAACAGAATCGGTCATAATCAAATCTCATCAAGGAACCAAAGACTTCTGATATGATAACAAGCAGGTTGTATTATGGGATTCAACATACAATTATCCTATTTTCTATAAATTAAGTCATTTAGCAAGTTGTAGTTATGAGTCATTTTATTTATTTATTTTATTTATTTTTTTGAGTTGGATTCTCAGTCGGTTGCCCAGACTGGAGTGCGGTGGCCACTCCCAGCCACCGCAACCTCACCTGCTGGGCTACGGCGATCCTTCTGCCTCCTCAGTCTTCCGAGTAGCCGGAATTACAGGTATGTGCTACCATGCCCGGCTGATTTTTTGATTTATTGTAGAGATGAGGTCTCACTGCCCAGGTGGGTCTCGAACCCACAGGCTCAGGCAATCCACTCACCTCAGCCTCCCAAAGGCGCGGGATTACAGGCTGAGCCACCGAGCCCGGCTGTTATGAGTCATTTTAAACACTAGATGGAAAGCTGATGCCACTGACAAAGACTCAGGAGCACAGCCCAACCAACTGCACGGTACCAAGTACCGCAGGCCAGCTTGCAACACTGGACAAGCACACACATCAGGACTTTTAGCAAGAGTCAAATTACTGTGCAGAAATCACAAGCACACCAAAAGGAGGAAACCACAGCTTTAGCCAATGTGAAGCATCTAGTGACGACAGGGACGGGAGCAGTGACAGGCTCAGGCCCAACTGACTCGGAGGGGAAGGTCTGGACATGTGTCCTTGAGAATTAGGGAATGCGGATGGGCATAAATTATTTGAGTCAAGAAAGTGATCAAATGTTTTAGAAAGAAGAGTGAAAGAATAAATGAGAAATAATCTATTTATTAATATAATTATATTACCTTTTAAACGGCTAGACATGGTCAGGATGCATATATATGTCGTTTTTTTTTTTTGAGTTGGAGTCTCACTCTGTCACCCAGACTGGAGTGCAGTCACACACTCACAGCCACCCCAGTGTCAACCTGCTGGGTTCCAGAGATTCTTCCACCTCAGCCTTCCAAAGGAGCCGGAACTACAGGCATGCGCTACCATGCCCAGCTAATTTTTTTATGTATTGTAAAGACTCACCAAGTTGCCTGGGCTGGTCTCAAACCTGCAGGCTCAAGTAATCCACTTGCCTCGGCCTCCCAAAGTGCTGTAATTAAAGGTTGAGCTACTAAGTCCAGCCAGATATATGTTTTTAAAATTAGGACACCACTCCTCCTCAGGCTCACTGAAAATCTTCAGGCAATATATATGGAGTAATATGTATATTTTTCAAATATTTCTCAAATCTTATCACTGACAAGTAGCAAAAAGACAATGCAAATATAGACCCACTAGAACGTTTTTAAAAATTCAACATCAGATTATCTAAAAAATATTCTAGATAAAATATCATATGTGTATAAAAACAGACCAGGCATAGTAGCTGATGGCTGTAATCCCTGCACATTGGAAGGCTGAGGCAGGAGGATCGCCTGAGGCTAGGTCTTCGATGCTACAGTAAGCTATAATCACACACTTGCCCTCCAGCCTGGGTGACATAGCAAGACCCTGTCTCTAAAAATAAACAAGCAAGCAAACAAACTTATACATTTTTTAAAATTGCCATTACTTTACTGGTAAAAAGTCAAACTTGCTTAGATACAATTATAAATTACTAATGTGCTACGACCAATTCCAAATACATTTTCTGCTACATTAAGTGTTCTTAATACAATAAAAACATTGTTGACCATGAATCTATACTCCATTAAACTTAATATTTGTATTAGTATTCAAAAAACAAATAGCATTTTCTTCAATGTTGCATTTTTTAGATTAACTTACAGTACGAGTCACAATAATGTCTTTCTGCCATGTGAGGACACAACAGGTCAGCAATCTGCCACCCAAAAGTGGGCCTCTCACCAGAACCTAACCATGCTGGTATCCTGATCTCGGACCTCCAGATATCAAGATTTTAAAATAAAAATCACTTTCAGGGCAGTGACATATAGCACCCAGGGGCAATATTCTAGCAATGGTATCCAGTGGCATTGATGGTGTCTTATAAGAAAAGGATATGGCATAACTTTGGCTGTGGTCCAGCCCTGGCTTGTTTCCTGTTTGTTCTCTGAGTCTGGTTTTCCAGTCTTCCAGTCATTTCTGTAAGCTAAGTAAAATCCGTCTAATATATTTCTTTTATTTTGCTTCAGCTAACCAGAGGTGAACCAAGACTCCTCAAATGGTACCCTTCACATGCTAGGCTCTGTAGCAGACACTAGAAGCACAAAGACAAATGAGATGTGACCTTGCTCACAGGAGTTCAACAGAGAAGGCAGGTGAGTAAACAAGCAGCACAGTTAGTGCAAAGCCAAAGACAAGAGTCATCATGGGAAGTGCAAGCCACAGAGCTCAGGCTCAAGGTTTCAGGAAGGAGAGACATCGCCGAAATCCTGACAGGTGTGCGGGTGATCCTGGTGATGACAGCAGGCCGCACAGGGAAGCAGTGCCCAGTCCAGCACCTTCTCTCTGCTCATGCCCTCCTTCCTACACAGCAGCCTACGTATGTCTGAACAGAATGCCAGAAAGCTGGGAGAAGTACACGTGAGGATAGATCGATAAGGGCAGGCTGGTGGGTTTGTGAACAGGCAGAAACACCCACAATTGGTGACCTGGTAACAATGGTGGGGATTATTTTTTGGTTTTTATTTTTGTTTTTAGAGACAAAAATAGAGACATGGTTGCCCAGGCTAGAGAGCAGTGGTACAGTCATAGCCCACTGTAGTCTTAAATTCCTGGGCTCAAGGGATCCTCCTGCCTTGGCCTCTTAAGCAGCTGGAATAACAAGCATGAACCACCACGCCCGGCCAATGGTGGTATTTTTGAGCCCACTATATGAAAACTTCATGCCACAAACACCGCCAGCACAAAGTTTACCAAACGACCTCCCTTTTCTCCTTGTCACTCAGCCTGGGCTTTCTGGGGGTTTGTCTGGTTGGCTCACTATGTGTAATGGGTGGAGTAGGAATCATGAGTGAGTGGATGAAGGAAATGAGAGAAGTAGAGGTGGTCAGCAGCCTCTGTGCAGTGAGCACCAAGCATCTGCCAACTGTCTAGGCTGCTTTTGCTTAATGGTAGGTACAAGTTTACAGAGGAAGAAACCTACATAAACTAGTATTTTATAAAATAACATATACTTGCCCATTTCTCTAAAATTATAAAACTTCAGTATCACTATCAATCATTTTAGAAATATTTTTTATAACTACATTAGGCTTATACTAAGGATCATTTTTACTGTTTATTTTTTAAATTTTTATGGACACATAATAGTTACACCTACACTTTTTAAAAACGATGTTTTGCATAAGCTTTATAAACTCTACCATTTCAGACATCCCTATATAGAGGTCTCTGCTTGAACAGAAGAGTTGCCATAAACAAACTATTAGAAAAATGTGATAAAGGAATTTGAAAGCAAATGACCAATGACATCTCAGTCTCAAAAGCCACATCAAAGCTATAGAACAGAATTATCCACGTGTTCTAAAATTTACAACTGTCCTTTGAAAAAGGCAGTGAGATCAGGCTCAGTGGCTCAGTCTATAATCCTAACACTGTGGGAGGCCGAGGCAAGTGGATTGCCTGAGCCCGCAGGTTCGAGGCCAGCCTAGACAACTTGGCGAGACCTCGTCTCTACAATAAATAAAAAATAGCCAGGTATGGTGGCACACACCTGTAGTTCTGGCTACTTGGAAGGCTGAGGCGGAAGGATTGCCAGAGCCCAGCAGTTGACACTGGAGTGGCTGTGAGTGTGCCACTGCACTCAGCCTGGGCGATGGAGTGAGATTCCAACTCAAAAAGAAAAGAAAAGAAAAGAAAAAGGCAGTGATTACTACCATGTGAAAGACGGGCATGAAAAAAGTTACTTCAAGTTTCATTAAGTTAAACAATGAAAATTTACTCAGCCCTGTGTAATCACGTCTCCCTTTACAGGACTCCATGCCACCTTGCACATCATTTCCTCCCTGACTCCAATGGCCAACTTCTGCATCATATTGGAGACCTGCTCTTCGAAGCCTTCCCTACCTCCCCTGAGACAGGGTTATTATCTTCTCTCTCTCTTTTTTTTTTTTTTTTTTTTGAGTTGGAGTCTCATGCTGTTGCCCAGGCTGGAGTGCAGAGGCATGCTCATGGCTACCACAGCCTTAACCTGCTGGGCTCAAGTGATCCTTCTGCCTCAGTTCTCCAAGTAGCTGGGACTACAGGTGCACGCCACCATACCCAGC